AAGGCATGATAAGAGCGATGGCTTCCCCCTAGTAGCGATGGCCTCCAACCTAAGAGCGATGGCCTCCAACCTAGTAGTGGCTCAAAGGTGTCAAAGGAAGACTTACCAAGGGACACAGAAAGAGAACACACAACAGAGTCAATCAAGGCGTCGAGAAAACATGCCCGGTGCAATTGAGCATGGTCCAAACCCCGCTTACGCGCATACACGAATGGACGGCCAAACGGATGGATAGATTCTTCTTCTGGAATTCCACCTTGGTAAACAAGCTCCTAGTAGCTTCTTGCTCCTAGTAGCGATGCCCTTTGCTCCTAGTAGCGTCCTGGACATACTAATATTATACTAATTTCGTCCCTTGAGCCAATGAGTCCAAGACACCGTGAACAATCTTCACACTCTTTGACCACTTTTACCGGGTCAAACAATCACAGAGTAAAAGTATCTGCAGTAGCGGCTCAGTAGCGGCCTTCATCTCCGCCAAATGGTGGTTGGCCTGTAACTCTTTTGCATGGCGGATTTGCTGCTGCTCGGTGGGCCTTGTCTCGCTGCCAAACTGATGAAGCTTTGCTCTGGTCGAGGGTTTCAGCTCTATGGGTTGGTGAAGTCGGAAGGGGGATGTGTATCACCTGACTTCCAGATTAGGGATCTCGAAACCGCTTTGCCAACTGCAGCATCCACGCCTCTTCAAATCCTCTTCATTCTCTAGAGTTTCAGTCTGCTGCAGCACTTTGGCGACTTTGGCATCTATTCCTGCTGATTGGCAACTGGAGATGAGGTGTGGCAGGTGTGGACCCAAACTACTTTCTTGCAACCAAAATGAAAATGCCGAGTTCCAATCTTTTTCGGTTCGGCCTTATGACTTCCAAGTCGTAGTTTCAGTTCACATCCTATCAGCTCTATGAATTGGTGAGGGATCGTCAACCCTCTGAAGAAAATAGGAGTGACGAGACATAATCACCGTAATAGATATTATATATATATTATACATGTATTATACTGGAGACCATAATTTGGCTGTCAAGTGCACCCCATTTTAAGAAAACCGTACAAAACTTCAGTGTCAAAAAGGAAAGGCAATGAGGAAAGGGAATGACAGTTCAGATATGTTTACACCAGTGGTACACACAGAGCGGATGATCCAATCATTCCCCTAATTAGATATTCTTGTTCCTAGTAGCGTGGCACTTGTTTCTACTAGCTTCTTGTTACTACTAGTAAGGCACCTGTTCCTAGTATATTATTACTATTAGTAAGGCACTTGTTTCCAGTAGCGAACCTTGTTACTACTAGTAAGGCACCTGTTTCTAGTAGCGATGCACTTGTTCCTAGTAGCATAAACAATTACAGTATAAACACCTACCAAATTATATAACATAATTGAACCAACTGGCCTTTGGCCTCTTTTTGCAGCTGTGTTTTGAAAGTTGTTTAGAGTTTTGCAAGGGCTGCAAACGTAAGAAAAACGAACACCCATTCAGCCTTTTGAAATCATGGGTTTGCTTTTTGGGGATGCTAGGAAAGACAACTTTTGGATATGAGGTACCATTCAAAAGCAATGGTGTACCCCCAAATGAGTATTGATACTTGATACTCATAAATGACCCCTTGATCATTAGGAACAGGGCACAGGGGATTAAGTCAGCTTCGCTTAGACAGCACTCAAAGTCTGGCGTTTATTCAATGTCAAAACAGTTTTCATGATGCGCAACGAACGGCAACATTCAGCTGACGTCGAGATGGAATCACAGTCACATATCCCAGTCAGTTGAGACTAAATGAGATTCACGAAATTCTGTGCTCTGAATCTCAAAAGGCACTCCCATTATCTCCCGTTGAACTACTCTTCCAGCACTTGATCAAAGCCTTTGGGTTTGGATGGAGTGTGACAACATTGGAGGTAGCTGCTGCGTTGGTTTCTGATAATCCAACCTAACATCCAACCTACTAGCGATGGCCTCCAACCTACTAGCGATGGTTCAGCCTTCAGAGTTCTGAAGGCAAATGCAACATATTTTCCTCTACGTTACTCCAAAAGTGCAAAGTGCCAGCACGTAACAACTGTCCTTGTGATTGTGCCAACAGGGCCAGCGTTGGTTCCCCATCTGCAAAAGAAAACTGCGAAAAACAAGTAAAACTTTCAAGCATCATCACAGTTTTTGACACTTTCGGGTGTGGTGTCAACACGAAAGTTGTTTACATGAAGCAATACCCTCATTTAAGTCTAAATATCGCATTTAAGCACAAACATGAAATGCATCTGCCAATTTCAAGGCTCTCTGTCACACCAGTGGCCAAGACCCAAAGTTTGGACCGGACTGATTGAACCCGACACGTTATGTCTGCATGCACCCTTGAGCAGCAATCCAACTGCAAATTGCAAACAAATCCACATTATGCCTTTTGCCCGTTGAAGAGCTTCGAAGGCCTGCGGGCAACTTGCACGGCTGTGAACAAGCATCATGTTTGTTTTGGGGAATGACAAATTTGCATAGAGGAGATAAAACATTAGACAATCAAGAACAACGAGCCTCATAATCTTTCTCCCACTGTTCATCCTGGTCGGGTTGCAAACTCAATGAGCGCCAGGCACTATCCTATTGTTTGCCTACATGTGTTTATTCGGACACTGAAAATAGCCGCGGGAAAACAAAAACCACCAAGATCACTCGATTTGTATGTATGCCTTTGGCACCATCCGTGCAAACCAAATTTGTCCACATACAAACCATTGTCACAACATGTAGACTTAGAAGGCAAGTTACAGACCACAATCAGCAGAAGGACCACAAAGCCTCAAAAAATATCAAACAATCATACAACTCTTGCAAAACTAGCAAACGCATGGAAACCAGTACATTGTACGAATTGTACGACCAGTTGCAGTGTATTTGATGGATGCCCTGCCCCCCCCCATATTCGCGAACTAGCGGACTCCAGCAAACATGAACAACAACACATCACACCTTTTCTGTTGGTGTATGTTTGTTGCGTGCCGATTCTTGTGCACTCTTGCATTCTTGCACTGGTTTGACTTCCGGACAATCATCTGATGTCTCGAGGGCCCGAAGTCTTTGAAAGCCGCACCAAAAAAACACAGAAAACATATTCAAACAAATGTCACCACTGAGGAAACAGTGGGACACACCACCCCTTGTGCCTGATTTGAAGCAGGGTGGACATCTCGCTCCTAAAGCAAAAACAAATGAGCTACGGGGTTGACAAAAAGGCAGTGGTGGGATACTACGTCTCGCAAGTCCAAGCTCTCTCCTGCCCAGCTTGTCGTGGTTGCCGCAGGTAGGAGTGCACGGATAGTACAGATCGTGGCAGTCGCGGCAATCTGCCATGGTCGAGCCAGGAAAGGCGACACACAATCACAAAGGACCACTCTTGGCATCAATTGGACGATTTGGACTTTAAATCAGCCTCATTCAGCCTCCCTCCACGGACATGAGGACCCTAGATGACTTATATAATACGAATGAAAAGAACAAACCAGTTGACGGACCATTCCGCCACCAACTGCTCTGGATACCATGCTGGGAATCCTGCGGCCTTGGCTTTGATCTGCTCCAAAGCGCAAACTTCTCCTCCAGCTTCTGACGATGAAGAAGACCTGCCGCCTGCAAGCTTCGGGGTTTGGCGCTTCAGCGTTTCTGGCTCAAGTGATGCCACGCTGTACAACCACACCCACACCCTGTTTAGCTCCAGAAAGGCTGTGAACTACCCGACTGCAGCTTGCCTGCTGCTCTGGGCTGCCTTGTGCTGACCTGTTTCACGATTTGCCGAAAGCGACTGTTGAACCAACCTGCCTTCCTTTTGCTCTCTTTATTTTGACGTGGGTGCCATGTCTCAAAGGTCATGTCGTATCTGAGTCTTTTGCTGAAACAATAATGACTCAAGTATCACAAAGAAAGATAAAACTGTTGTGACCTGAATGCTGCCATAACACAAAGCTTCGCATTGCACAATTGACAAGAGCAAAGCCACCAGGGCGGAGAATACCTCTGCAAACAACAGCACGGAGCTCATGGCAGGAATCAAAAGGGCACCGCATGGCACCAAGTGTCACATGCTGCAAGTCTCACAATATTGTAAGTTAAAAGCACCTGAAGAAGCAATGGGCTGTGGGGCTAGGTTTGGCTCCCTGCTAGTGCATACTGTACTGTCAATCGATCCCGCCAATGACTCATTCAGGCCCTCACAGGACGGCGGCGCTTCATTGATGATCACCTTATCTGTCAAGCTATCTGCTGACTCAGCCAATCCCGATTCAACTGTGCTGAAGGTACAGGCGCCGGGTACTGTATCACCCAGCCCCATGTCACCAAAGTTCAAACTAAACAAAACTCAACTGTTCGGAAGAGGTCTATGCGGGTGGATTTGCAAATGCGCATGTCACATGGCGAGGGTGAAATAATGTAAAATACATGCGGGCCACCCTTAAGCATTCGTCATCAGTTCGTGGAGCTTCACAAAAACTATGCAATATATAGTGCCTTGGAACGGAAAGGAGAACACATATTAATCACTGAGCTTCTCAAACATCTCAAACGGTATCTAATTTATAGTTTCAACCAGAACCAAGAGACTAACAGAACAAGGGGTTTGTCATTTGAAGTTGCTGACATGAGCAGCGTGGCCTTGCAAAACCAGCATGCTTTCTGAGCTGCAACCAAGAGACCGCGGGATGAACCTGCTCTTGAGCAGGTGCCACTCCCACGCTTTGAGCAACATCAAGGGACACGAGACAGGCAAAGCGTGAAGCTCATTGAAACTGTGGTTGTATTTGTGACCAATGCTCATGCAGCTTGCTTAGCTTCCACCCGCTTCGTTCACCGGTCTTCTCTGACAAACCCGGCCATGATTGGTTCTCTGTTGGACTGTTGGCACAGGTTCTCCAGCATCTTGGCCAAGTCTGGGACAAGCGCACTCATGTGTTGGCTGTACATGACTCAAAGACACCCCCTCATGGACCCAATGGACAACACAAAAACTACTTCCCCGAATCTCCCCGACCCACCTGAGATTCTTGCTGAACCCTTCTGCTGAAAAACACTGAGAAAGCATGATAAAGCCATATTATTGTGAAAAGGCCGTACTGATATGTAGTGATGGATGTGACTGCCGGAGAAAGAAATATACGGCATCATCCGCACAGGGACGGACGCTTCCACAGGGCGGTTACTGCTCGGTGAGAGATGGTGGCATCTTTGGCCAAGTCATGGCGAGACGAGCGCCGCTTCCAACCGTGCCTCAAGGGCCGAAAAGTCAAGTTGTTCAAGACGGCGGAGCAAAGGTCGCAGTGCAAATGCACCAGCTAAGAGCGTAGCTCTGTGGCCAACCAGAACAACGCTGCATCTGCCAGTGACGACCTGGCATCAAGTAAAGAGAAACATCTACATTCTACATGTGGGGCATTGTGGGGCCACTCTTTTGCGAAGCAAAACAGAACTTCGCGGTGTCTGCAGCAGTTCGAAAGAGAATCATCAAACTCACAAGACCCAAAGAAATGCCGGGCTGGCATCCCAAACACGCCCACGGCAATCTTCGCCCGTGACCATTCGAGTGCTGTCAGGGCTGAAGGATGCAGTGGCAACCTCAGTGAGCAGTGGTGAGACCCCCTGCACCACGTGCGCCGCATTCTGAGCACAGCTGTGCTGATCTGAGATTCTGAGGCTGGCTCTGGCCCTGAATGTCCTAATCGGTGCACCTAAGCATTGGAATCATTGGAAGTACAAACACTGAATGACACGTATCCAATTCAAAAGCTCCAAGGCCAACAACACGACGACGACAATGATACAATGCACATGCACATGCACTCTAAGACGTTCGTTCTGATCTTGCTCCGAATTGGCCTGTTAGAGTTCATGGGTGCCCTTGACACTCCAGGCTGCTGACCAGTTCTCCCGTCAGCACACGCCACACCAAAGCCATTTGGTTGGCGCATATGGTCACTGCCTTGTCAAAATTGATTGCAGGAGGCCAAAGCGACTGTGGGATTCGTCTCCACGGCGTGCACTGAGGGACCCAACGAAGGATCCGTCTGCTGAGAAGCGGCATGATACAACTTGTGCATCATGAGCCATCTCCTGGCAACTGTTCAAACAAAGAATCGCACTGATTTCAGGAGAACAAACTCAGCGAAGTCCTGGCTAATGTTTCACAACGCATTCAATCAATGCAAAAGGCATGATGTTGTTCCTGCGGGAGTTTAATCGGTTTATGATGTCTTCAAGCTGACAAAACATCTGTCAGCTTGTCAACCGCAGAAGTTTGAAAGACGTATAGGCCAAGAACATGTCAAAGGGTGTAGTAAGTGTACGTGTGTATATATTGCATCATATTACACCCCCCCTTTTACGATTGGGACATACTTGCGCCACAAAACAACTGTTCCTGGAGGATTTCAAACGTCTCCGTGCTCCAAATGCGGCACTTCCAGTCATAGCCTTACAAAACCAGCTGTTGGGCTCGAGCATACCATTTCCGGCCAAGTATTATGACCCAAAAAAGGCATTTGCATGGGCTTTATGTTTCTAGTAACAAGTGCATCGCTACTAGGAACAAGTGCCTTACTAGTAGTAACAAGAAGCTTCTTCTAGGGCTTTATGGCTGCAAGTTCTTCAAAAAGGACCATAGACTCCACCACGGGGGTTTGCTATGTGCAGTTTCATCAGTCTCATCGTTCACTGAACCCTTTGAGCAATTGAACCGCAACGACTGATGGGTCTGTTATGGTGTGTTGGCTTTCTTCTCCTTCCTCACGTGAAAAGAACTCTGCAAGGCCCACACAAGCTGCCATGATGTGATGGCCATCAGGTGAGAAGGCCTCAAGTGACTCTTTTTGTGGGAAGATCTCGAAGTATTGCAACATGCTGTTGGACTGTTGTTATTGGCATGCACTGTTGTCGCTTCTCAAGGATGCGACTTCTTGACAAGATTCTTATTGATAGTCCCTTGTCGCCCTCATCGTGGTCCAAGGAACATTTTGACGCAAGGTGGCACGGCGGGCTTCATACAACCCCGCAATACAGCACTGCGTTCTGACTATCCGTTCAATGGAAGGCCTGCATTTGTGTGTGAACCCCTTGCACTCATCCCGGCTCATTGCCAGGTCTATGGAAAAGGCTGCTGAGATACTTGACCAAGCAGCTACTTGCAATGCTGTACTGTACCATTCTGAGGTTAAAGCGGCATCATGTACCGACCTCACCACGTCAATAATGGCGTGCATGCAAGCCATGATAAGCCATGCCTTTGCTAAACCATGCTGCACCAGTCTCTACCACTTTGCTCTGATCAAGGAATCGGAACAAATGACTATGACACGTATGACAAACATACTGTACATCTCCATTGTTGCATTGTTGGGCACCAAATCAGCAGAACTTCTCATTCCTTGGCCTCTGGCTGGCCATCGGCAAGTCTCCTCAAAAAGTAACAAGCGATGCTGCTTCGGCCAGTTATGACTCAACGGGGTCATGCAAATGATGCTGAAGCCCTTAGCATCTCTAGGCACCTAGAGGAGAAAAAAAAGAAAAAACATCAAAACGCTGCCCCCCAAGCCGTGTGCAGGGCCATGCTTGGTGCACAGCTAGGGTGGAAAGCACTTGAACAACCCCATGGGCCACCCTGCTTCAGCACACTTCCAGAGGCTGCGTCTCGGACACAAACCTTGGCTCACAAACCCGCGGCATACAGCTACGAAATGATGGCTGACTGCTGACTTCTCTGCAAACCTTTGCAAGCATTCGCTTCCTGTCGTCGACACTCAATTCTTTTCCGTGCTCCAAACTACCAGTATGTCAGAACTGCCTGTGATCAAAGGGTCTCCTCAGCACACGTATGGTAAGTTTTTCACAGCCAAGTTGGCCGTACCAAGGTAAGGACTCCTTGTGTGTCAATCGCAACCGTCAAGATCTGAGACCAAAATCAGCAAGTGGCATGTGGCTCTCGCATGCCCTAGCTCATCAAACATATTCTGGCAGCTGACCATGCCACATGTACACCGCAGCCCCAACTATGGCTTACTCCACATGGTGACCGGTGCACTTTGGCCGTGAGCCTGCCTGCGAGCCATCCGGTGAAATCTTTCCGAGGATGACGCCGCCACCTGGCCCGACATCGTCCATGCGATTTCACACGAAGTGCAGTGTGAGCGATCGGACGCTACTAGGGGCTCCTGGCATCGCTACTAGTAACAAGAAGCTACTAGGAACAAGAGGCTATTAGAAACAAGAATTCAGGCATGATGACGCTAAACGTCTGGGCCAGCTCACAACATGATGCACCAGCGGTTTGGTCACAACTTGGTCTGTGTTTTCTGAGAAGCAGGCTGTGGCCCTTGAGATTCAGCAAGGCATCGCCAAAGGTGGGTTCCCACACCCGAGCAGTGCAATCAGTGGAGGCCTTGCAGGCCAACTCAGTCTTGTGTATCCCATCGGTGCGTCTGCCGTGTCTGGCAGCCAAGGGGCTGTAATGATCCGTGAGCCGTCTGGAGAGAAGGAAGCAGCAACCACAGCACCCAAGTGCTTGTCAAGTAGATGGCTACAAGTTCCATCGACTGTCCAAACCTTGGGCGCAGCATGAATCAAACATGTGTGATGTGGCAACGCATAATTACCGCATATGTATATTATGTTATGATCTGTATAGATGTATATATTTGTTAATAAAATAGTATACAATACCCCAGAGCAAAAACACGTTGTCTCCTCGATCACTCAGCAGCTAGGAATTTTGAACTGGTCCGACTTCTGAACGGCACTTCTTGCCTTACATTGCAAAAGAAAATGCCCCTGACCGCTTGGCAAGCAAGTGACTCTTGCAGTATGATCCTGTGATGCCGTCACAACCTGAGCACCTGGCCAGGAAAAAGAACAAGACGCGAGACTCATGACAGCTTCCAAGGTGTCTTTCCTCCCCATCCCAATCACAGCTGTGTTGAAAAAGACCCAATGTCAAGCCTGAAGGCGCAAATGCCGCAGAAACAACCTTGGATGGTGTTACTGCGATTGGGTTTCAAAATGTTCCTACATCTCGGGGTCCACCATGTAGAACATTTGGGAAATTAAGATTATGAATGTGAAACTAAGTCCGTATGATGGTTTAGTCCCTCAGGGCTGATTGTTCACATGACCTGTTTCATCATGACAGTAGGTGATTGATTGATTCGTCTAAAGTCCGCAGCAAAGGCTGGTCGAGGGTGACCGATTCAAGACTTCCATGGCGCATGCAAGCACACAAGTCCCCGGGTTTAGTCACCTGGGGTCGCAGAAAGTCACCCGGCCGCATGGGCACGCTGCAGCAGTGGAAAGTCACACAGCTTGCGGAAGGCCACCCGGACAAGAGTCGAGTGAACAACCATGGCCACGCTATGTACTTCTTCCCGACCAAATTCGACACTGCATATTTATATATATATATATGCAGTGTCGAATATACCTACACTGGAAAAAAACGACCATTTTGGTGTTGATTTCTTGTTGTTCGGGTGTTGAATCACCATGGCAACGCTTACTCCAGGTAGTGTTCTGAAGCCATTTGTCCTTCAGAACCTTAAACGTTATGAGTCTATAAATCAGTCATACAGTCATACATATGGAAATTTAGGGAGGATTTGGGGTCAAACACTCATGTTAGAAATTGTTTCAGTATATGAACAGATGTGAACAAATGTTTTGCGAGTGCCACGAGAGTCGCAGCGATCCAGATCCCACGTTGCAGGGATAACAAAGTTCAAGAAAGTATATCGAGACACAGATCCTGCAAGGCCACGCGTCTTTCAATCGACTTACTACAAGACCAGACGACTTAACCCCGGTACCCAATACTTCATTAAGGCCAGTCTTTGACACATGATTCATTGGTGCCCTGGTTTCGTTCGATTTCCACGGCAACGACTAACAAACCAAAACATTAGACAGCAGACTCTATGATCTCTATGACCTTCGTGACTCGTTCAAGCCTCTGCATTCAAAGGATGCATAACGGGGCTTGTGCTCTACCATGCCACGAGCCACGTACACAAGACATCCCGAAGCACCACAGCTTAGCCATGGAGCCGCTCCAGTGTGCCCTTCCAACTTTGCACAGCATTCTCCTGTCTCCACCATCCAAATTCTGGCAGTGCAGTCCTGGATTACAACTCGATTGTGCGAATTGCATAGAGCCTAGTGATCGAAACGAGTGTATGGCCATGTTTTGCCATGTATTGCGTGTATTGCCACCTTTGGCCTGAAGACATGCCCCAATGGAGTTACTGTAATTCAACTTGTGCGGTGTTGATGTTACAAGCATGTGTGGAAAATTGCAGATCTTCACTCAGAGCAGGCCGCACGCTCACCATATGCTTACCATGTCTAGTTGATGCAAACATAAGAAGGCACTGAAGTTTCTGCAACTGTTCGGTAAGGATGTTCATTGTTCTACCGGTCCTTCGAGATCCTTCCATATATGAGTTTGGCTCCAATTTTGTTATGCAAGAATTGGCGACCAGAATGCGTTGTTTGAAGTTCTTTTGGTTCTATCAAGCTGGAATTTTCATGTATAATAATCAACTTCTTCCTCCCCCTCATGGAGCCGGCACACTTATCAATTAACCCTGTCCTTGGAAGCAGTAAGCACGCTGCTTCCGCTTGGGGCAAAATCCACATCGAGCACGGCATCAGAATGCCCCGAAAAGATACGAACACACCTTGTGCAAAAGCCAGAAGTTGAAACCCAATGAAATCCACAAGTTAGAACTTGCAATAAAGAGCTGGCACCTCAAGCTAATGAAAACCAATGAAAAACATTTAGGCAGCTCAAGCGCCGCAAGCTCTTATATACAATCACACTAGAATTGTGAAATACTGTCAGTGAGAGTTCCTCAAGAGCGCTAGCTGCAATCGTCGAAGGGCCTTTTGACAACCTCCCTCAGGCACTTTCTACTGAACACTCAGCAATCCTAGCGTGACAGCGAACAAGCTTTTCCTCTGTCATATTACCACCTCCTGTGGCTGAAGGAAGCAAATACTTGCAAGTAGATTTTTGGAAGTGGAACGGCGCAAAAAAGAACATTGTGGATTTGGATAAAAGCTCCGAACAGCGTCCACATCGACGACGTTTGGCGTGTCCATGTCCATTCATCCGAGATGCTCGCCGGAGTCCACTGACCACAGCCTGCAAGGACCGAAAGACATGGCGAACTTCGACAAGTTTGTTCGAAACATTTCGTACCTCACACACCTAAGTCTAGCATAGTCCAAGTCTGCCTCCCAATGGAAGCACAACAGACTTTTAACTGCCTCGGGTCTTGGGTCTTGGGAGCCTTGAGCTAACCCATCTCCCAGTAACAAGTTGTAACCATCGAGCCTTGCAGTAGCATCTCGCGATGCAGTGATTGCCAAGGATCCTGCCTCAAAGGCATGAACCCGTCGCAAGTGGTGACCGCTTCGGCCCGATTCCAAGTATCACGTTGGTGACCGCTACACACGAACCTAATTGAACACTGCTTCTAAGTGGGGCACAGTTGGCCAGGTGGACGTAACTGACTATGCAGCTCAGACACTCGCACGGCCAGGATCAAAAGCTCGCCATTGGTCACCTGGGCAAAATCTGAGAATGACTACGGCACCTGAGGCACTTGGGTCATCTGTTATGATTTCTAAACGAATCATTCGCTTGTTGCAACATAATTCGCACAGCCACCTTTCAAAGGCAAAGCAAATTCCAAACCCCGATTAAGATGATTCAGATACTATTCAGATACTGCACTCGCCAAGCAACACCTTCACTGCTCAAGGTCTCGCTGTTCTTGGACAGTGGCTTCAGGTTGCACGACAACCTTGGAGATATGATAATAGCATAAAGCTCATCTGCCCAGATGTATCTCATCGCTTCTTGCCAATGTCTGATCCAACCACTTGGGATCTCAATCGGTCTCCCTATCTGCATCTCTTTGTCGTGACATGTTGTAACTGTCGTTCATCATCCATCCATTGACATTGAGCTGCTCTTGTTGAATCGGCGGCACCCCGGTCACAGCCTCAAGCTGCTGCTTGAGCCTCGGGAAAGGGATGAGAAAAGAATTGGAACAATGCGCTGCGCCGCGGGGCGGGTCTGCATTTCTCCAGGGATGTTGTCCTGAGGTTCCAACTCGTAGACTGTGGTTGATGGGTGAAACGGTACACTAGCCTTGGCTTGACATGAAGTCTACACCCTGACCATCGCTGAAAAAAAGAAACAGTGAATCTATTGGTGGGCTTTTATTGATTGTTCTGCCTTGCTTCACTATTTCTTCCACGTTCCACTGCAGCAAAGGAGGAAAAACGCCCTGTCTTGACTTGAAAGTCTACTAACACAGACCTTGCTTGCAATCCGAAGTAGCAATTCCAGAGATCACTTTGAAGTTTAACATCCTCAGCCCAGCTCAGCGAAAATTGCAACAAAGTATGTGGGGGCCCTGAAGCTTATGCAGTGAAATGCTTTTTGGACCGACCCAAACCCCGGGCCAACAATGGGCAATTCTGGAGAGTCCTACCCAGCATGACTGCACCAGTTCCATCCAGAATCACTACTAGCCGTCGGTTGCCCCGTTGAAACCCGAAACATTCAGCCTGGTTGCCCCGCACGTCGGCCCTCTTCTGCATCACAAAATGCAGGAAAACCACCGTGGCAGTCATAGGCACCTGAGCATCAGAGAGCCCGCGGAGGCCGCCGCGCGCTGTCAAGTCAATAAAGGGCAAGCACAACACGGAGATATCAGATATCTGTGCACGTGAAGATGTTTCCGTGTTATTCATGTTTTCCGCAACAGCCTTGCGCCAGCAGCAGGATCATTCCCCTGTCAGCGTTCACTGGGCAAAAGGCCAAGGTCCGAAGGACGTACCCACCTTCAGGCATGCATTGGCCATGCCGCCGACCCCCCGTGCCAGGTTCAGACCTTGTTCCCCGCCAGTGTTCTGTGGCCTCTTGTTTGTGTTCGACATTTTGACACATTTTGGACATGTTGCACCTGGGGGTATGTATTACCGGTATTCCCCTAGTGTGGATTTGAAAGCTGCTTTGGATGCTCCCGAGGCAGGGTCACATTGTTGAGACATGTTGAGACTATTGGTTGCTTATGGTGCTAGAAGGATGATGAACAGCAAGAAGAAAACGGAAAGGAACAAGAACTAGAACAAACACCAAAAGAATACAAACAAAACAGAAGAGGCAGCAGCAGCAGCAGGGAAACAAAATCAAGAACAAGAAAACACAGAACAAGTGGGGGGTATTGGTCTGGGTTTGAAGACCGCCCCGTTTTTCTGTGCTGACTGGGTCGGGGCTCATAGCTGCAATTACGTGTTGTTGTTGATGCTGAAGAAGAAGCAGAAGGAGAAGAAGAAGATAACAAAAGAAACAAGAAAAGAAAGGAAAACATGAAGAAGAAGGAGAAGACGAAGAACAAGAAGAGCAAGAAAAGGAACAAGAAGTAGAACACACACCCCTTTCCTGACCAGTGGCTGGCTGTTTCGCGCCAGCGTCAAAAGAAAGTCACACAAATCACATCAAATCATCAATTCGACATGCGCAAGCCCAGTTCAGAACTTCCAGCTTGCCATCAAGTCACCTCCCAAATACCTGGCGTGCGGAGTCCAGCCTCTGACTTTGACCGAGGAAAGACATCCCACCGAATAAATTATGATTAAACTCTTACGTTGAACGAACATCATAAAATCAAGCAAGGAGCCTCAACCCAACTTTGCTCCCCGCGTCTCTTGATTGTCTTCACCCCGCCTGGCAAAGCTGCTGCTTCTTTGGCTAAGCTTTTCCATGGAATAATGGCCATCAGGCCACGGGTCTTTCATGCCTCCTTAGAGCAAATCTCAAGCAGTTTCAGTTCAAATTGGTCCAGATCCATCAGCTGGATTCAGCTGGTGGATGCTATTGGGCACGTCTGCCTCTTTTTGTGCACGAAAGGCCATTCGTGGAACAACTAACTCACTGAGGTCACGACTGTGACAGCTCTGGGTCAGTCGGTATTCCTTGCCAAGTCGAGCTACGACTCTGGGGAATACCTGTCATGGCATTGGTTCTGAATGTGCATTGCTCCTAGTAGCGATGCCAGGAGCCCCTAGTAGCGTCCTTGCTCCTAGTAGTGATGCCCTTGATCCCAGTAGCTTCTTGCTCCTAGTAAGGCCAGGAGCCCCTAATAGGTTCTGAGTGTGCGTTCCGAGTCGGAGTCAAAACTTTCAGGTGCTGATCTAGTCGCTGGTGTATTTGCCACTTCCGCCTTTTGGTGTCTGGTGTAATGACAAATGCAGTGACTCGCTGAACCGTAGGAAGTTCGCTGTTGATGTCAAGCCAATCGTCACATCGGCAAAGGCTTTCCTACTTGAGCTACTGCACGGCTGATCAAAATGAACTACGGACTGCAAATATGCCGTCTGGCCTCAGAGTAGGCGTAGCAATCCAGCACTGTAGAGTTCGATCCAACCTAAAGGAACGACTGACTGGGAATTCGTCACCAAAGAAATGCAAAAAAAGACCACAGCCTCGTACAAGTGTTGCGAACGCTGAGCCTATGCAATTTTGAAGAGCAATCTGCATAAGTTGGGCTAGAATTGCCACGGACAGCTCTCGGAAATAAGTTTTAGGGCCTAGGTGAAGAGCCTTACAGTGACTGACTCCATTTCCTTTCTCTGTCCGTGCAGCATTGTACGAACATACATACACACAAACATGGAGACTCTTATAGACAATCAAGCATGCATGAGCAAAAGTCCTAAGTTGTCACTCTGTACACATATATATACACACAGCCGTTCAGTGGCTCGATTGAAGACTTTGCACCTCTATTTATATAAATGAACAGGATGAAATTGGTCTACTAGTAGCTAGAAGTTATTAGGTTGGAGGCCATCGCTAGTACAGTAGGTTGGAGGCCATTACTACTAGTAACAAGAAGCTACTATATATTAGTAGCTAGGATGCTAATGTGTCCAACTCCATTCATTCTCGGCGTTCTGGCGCCCGCAAGCCAAGCAGCTGTGGCCACTGCGAGTTTCTTCTGAGAGTCGGCCGCCCAAAGTGTGACCGTCTGGGAGGGAGAGCGGAAACCAAATCCAAAATATTCCAAAGTTAAAGTTATATAGTCATAGTTATAATATACTAACTTAGTAAAATACATAAACCAACTACCAACCAACCCACTGCGTAATCATGACATTCTGAATGAACTATAACTAGAATGACATCTGGGCACCCAACTGTCTCCTCCTCCAAGCCATCAGGAGTCACGTACCTGAGCAAGGTTCAGCCGAGCTGGGCAGCTGCGGGATGAACCATCGGCAACATCGGTCACCGGTAATTAACGATGTTACCGGACAGCGGATACAGTGGCAGTGGCTCAGCGATTGGTCAAGACCTGCCCCTAGTAGCGATGCCAGGAGCCCCTAGTAGCGTCCTTGCTCCTAGTAGTAAGGCCAGGAGCCCCTAGTAGCTTCTTGTTACTAGTAGCGATGCCAGGAGCCCCTAGTAGCTGACGTTTTAAGTTGTACATGGGAATTGAATCCAATTCCTCTTCCACTTGCATCCAAGATACCTACCAAGCGATGTAATCACAAACGTGGCCTCCGCCAAAAAGCGAAAGCCAAATTCACCATCCCAGTCCTTGCAAAGGGTGGAGGGTTTTTGCGTAATATCTTCAGTTGCTACACCTGCTGCACTGATTACACCTCATTCACTGAGACGGGTGCGGCGGACAATAGCATACTAGTACCGTACAGCAAGGCAATCAATGGCTACATCCCAACGGAATAGCAGGATTGCTACATGCTGTGTGCCTTTCTTGCTGGACTTTTGGGTGCTGCAGGTGCTTCCGAATCTGTGAAAAAGGGTGGCCGTTGAATGCCGTTGAGGAGCATTGCGATAGCCTTCCCAGGTACCTTGAAAAAAAGGGCTCTGCCTCTGCATCGCCCACCTGAGCTAGACGTCAAAAAACTGGAGCATGTCACATTGCAGTTGACAATCCTGAAGGATCTCTGGAGAATGTTGAGCTAAGAAGTCAAAATTCCGGTCTAGTCAAGGAACCGTCTGGGTAGATACCACCACGTGCATCTCTGTCATGGGCCGGTCCAGCACGGCAAGCACCACACTGCATTGCTCAGACCGACTGTGTTCCAGGAGGCTCGGAGGAACTGGGCTGGCAAGAAAATGAACGTTTCCCAAAGCAGTATAATGGCTGCATATAGCTGAACCCGATTACCCCGTGTCGTCACGTTCAATGCAAGGTTACCAAATACTGCCACCCTACCCTACCTACACACTTTCCCAGCATACATGCACTACTGTGTGTGTGTGATAATAAGGTCATACAGTTATCTGTTTTGCTCAATGCTTGAGTCAAAGCCAAAAGGCAGGCGGCTGGTTTTTCTGTGAAAATCGACATCATATGTGGGCATAAACTCACGAAACTCAGTTGAAAGCTGAAGATATAGAGGAACTCAGCAATCCTCCAAAAGTGACTCTTCAACTGAACCGAGGCATACACCTTTCCCCTTTCAATCAGTCTCCAAAGATGCTTTCTGCGCTCGCAGAAAGTGGAGGAGACGAAGCCAGGGGCGTGTAAAGCAATAATATCTCAAATACAAAGGCAATGGCAGCTGTGCAGCAACCTCTGTCATTGCCAAGTCCTCGGCAAACAGCACGCATTTCGTTCGCGGATGAATGCGTTCGAAGCGCAAGCTTTGCCGGCTCCGAACACGTATTATCAAAACATGTTTGCACAACACTCTGGTGATTTTGAACTCTAATGATGATTTCAAGATATTTCAAACATGTTGGCCTCCCAGCACATGTCGGCCAAATTGAGCAAAGACTCGAGCAATTCTTCTGCCTCCTGCTGAAGCTCGCGAGCTGCCTGAGACCCTGGTACAAGATCCTGTTCAGAGATTCGCCGCGGAAGCTCTGCACGCCAAGACTCGAAGAAGCTTAGCGCCATGACCCACTCCTTGAAGAGTGGAAGAAACTCATTCATCTGACGTCATGTGTTCAATCACACCAAGTCAAAATGCAACAAGTCCGGACAAATCTGCCTCTTGTTTAGTGCTTCTCTGTTTTGTTCTCCTAAGGTAATCCAAGCAACTTGGAAAGAAGGCTTCAAAGCCTGGTGCTGCTCGGCCACTGAAAGGGCGAGCAAATCTTGGGCTTCATCCTGGAGCTGACCGTACAATTTCAATGGAATTCAGTTTCATTGGCACAGGTGTCAGTTCCAAGCAATAAGGATTGATGAAGGGTTCGGATTTTCGCCGTCTCGGTTCATGTTCTTGAGGACACCCTTTCAGCTCGGATCACCTCGCTCAATCTCAAGTAAAGTAGCTATAACTGTAGCTATAGTCATAGTCTATGAGGAGTTGGGCTATCACAGAGTGTGCGACGGGGTGCTGCACTCTTCAATATAACTCAATGCCGTCCTCCGACAGCCCGAAAATCTTGAGGCCCAGAACCATCTCAGCGCTTCCCGGCTCCAACTTGGAGGGTCGTCTGAGGGTCGGTCCAGCTTTCGCTGCAGGATTGCGGCCGTGCCGTCTCCGGTGATCAGACAGGCTGTGGTGCAAAAGCTCCCCCCGGTGTGGGGTGTCTGGAAATTGCAAGGGGCACAGTAATCCTTGGCATGGATTCTCCGGAATGACAAAGCCGTAGCAAAATAACAGCTGTTCATTTGTATGCTCACCATAGCATATGCACACTTCTTCCTTGGGTGCAATGTCGCGGCTGGCCACCATGGAAATACTACCGTCAGCGTTATCACGAAACTCTGCGTTGGCAGATTTGTATGTTGGTGCATGATTTGCTATATCCACGATTGGGATCAAGACAAGCCGATCACTATCCTTTGGCACGTGGAAAGCTCTGCTCATTATCACTGCCTGTGCCCAAACACAGGCCTGCCAATGTGCTTCCTTCTCTTTCACCTTCTCCAGATCAGGCTGGACTGCCTTCAAAAGCTTGGTTCTTAAGGACAAGGTGTGGTTGAGCAAAGATGTTCCTTTCAGCGCCCGTTTGGCAGCTTCAGGTGCATCTGATGAGACTGAGCCAGCGACAAGTCGCAAAGGCATCGTGTCCGGGGGATGCATCGACTCAACAAAGGGATCGGGGGACTGCAGAGCTGTTAGTAAGCGTCTTCGCAATGCTGCTGAAGCTTTAGGCAAGCTCTCTCCCGGTGCGAGTGGCTCTTCAACATCTGCAGATTGAGACTCATGGGCAATCCAAAGTAGCTTCGAGGGAGTTTTGACCAAAACACTGCCCGAAGGTATCACCGGCACATCATCCTTGACACAAAGGCCCCAGCCTCTGCCGGCTAGATGGGCGGCACACAAACCTTGGTGAAAATAGCCGCCACCTCTTTTGTGCCATTCTAGAACCTGCGTCGGGCTGTCCATGCCTTGGCGATAGAAATCTTGGGCCACACCAGCCTCACAGTTGGCGCTCAGGCGCCACAATGTGCTGGGTCTGCATTTTGCCCTCTCCCCCTGTCTCGAGGAACATCGATGCAGAGTAAGGGAAGCCACAAGAGGCCCAAGCTCCCAAATGGCGCGACTTGTCATGAGGTAAGATCATAGGGCAAAATGCGATATATTTAATGGATATTTAGGTAGGTTTAGCTTATTGGAGGTTGTCGGCACTCGTATGCCTCCATTAAGCACATCAAATTCCCATAATACTTTAAATACCATCCATTAAGCGCTATGATACACATCTGTCACCTTCAACATATGGCAAGGCCTTTGCTCACAAGAACTCACAAGGAGCTTATCACCTTCCTGAGGACCTAGCAAGCCTATTTCAATCCGAGCCTCAAACTTGGAGAAGTTGTGCAAAGGCGGCCACATTAATGATGGTCAACTCTGAATTCTGGCTTGTCAACGGTTCAATTCAACACGTGCACGGTCTTGCATGGAGCCGGCTTGTTTCTCTGGACTGGACCCAGGCACGTGCGACAAAGCACAGGAAGGCTGCTTGCATGACATACACAAAACCGAGCAAGGCTAATTCTCAATGGGCTTTTGCACCCACAAAGGTGCTTCAGAATGTCCTTTCCCTTTGTTGGAGGAACATGTTGTTTGTCGCAGCAGCCCTTGTGCTGGGCGAAAATGAACCTACAACTTGCCTAATGCTAGAGACCCCAATCAATAGATGACGGCTGTCTGTGCAGCGTAAGGGGAATCTCCCCCATCAAAAATGGAGCATGTCGAGCCAGTAACTCTTGACTGGATGTCCGGTGAAAGCGAGGCTCTCTGGTGGATCAAGCTTTCACAGCAGTCACAACCCACATTGGATTAGATTGCCTTGGTCAGGACTCAGGGGGCCACGAAGAATGTTGTATATATAATGGATACGGCCTCTTCTCTCGCGAATGCCATGCAGCATAATGCGGCCCCACTGCAGCTGTTTTGGATAACTTCGGGCAATTCTGAAGGCAGGGGTTCCGCACGGGGTCTTGCTAATGTCAAGGGATGTGATGTCCTTCCTGAGCTTGCAAAAGCACAAAGCAGCACTCCTGGATCCTACCATCGTTTGGTTGCAGCTTCCAGGCCCGCAGCCAACCACCAGCGGGGTTGAAGTGGAAGTAGTTTCCGACCTGAAGTTGGAAAACCATGGAAAACTGCTTGAAGACCAACCCCCCAGGTCCTTACCCTCCAGGTTCCACTCTGAGAGCCAATCAATCTGGCAATGACCAGGTCCATCGCCTCAGGTCCCAAATCATGCGGCTCCATCGCTCCAACCGTTCCGTGTCTCATGCGTGCCTACACAGTTCCGTGAGTACGTCGCTCCAACCGCCTTTGGGCTCCAACTCATGTCAGCCACCCACATCGCTATAGCCTCACGAGCGCTTCTTGGGAAGCACTGCCCACAAGAAAATAGTAATGATAGAGCTTGCGAATCTGGAAAACCACCCAAGAAAAAAGGAAAGGTGTTGAATAATAAGTTTGAGAAATCTCTAGACCAAATAACATATTGCAATAATGAAATGACATAAACCACGGCATAATGATAATGTAGGAATAATGCGAACACCAGATCGCCCTTACACCTCTCTACATCTCTCTACTTCCTATTGTTGCAGTGGTGATCGCAACTACTGCATCATACTCTTGCAGCATGCCAAGAAATTCAATCTCACCACCCCAACTTTCACATGGCTGGACGGCTGAGGTGTCTCGACTAAGCCGCCCCGGCCTTTGTGAAAAAGCAACGATTGCTGAAGGACATGATCGCGACACCTACTGCAGGCGAATCATGGAGCTCTTCAGAGGGCTATAAGATCTATATATAAGGAATAGTTGTCAGCAACATGTCCGTAGGATTGCCTTATATACAGTAAGTTACGGGCGGGTCTCATGAAATCTGGCCCCCCATGTTCACTCCCCATTTTTCTGGGTCATAGTCATAGGTTGTTTGATCTATATTATCTATTGGCATCTTGAACAGAACATAATTACATTGTAAGTTACATCAAATCATTATATAATGTCCTCTACTACTGAACTATCTTCACAGGATTCAGAATTTTTACAGAACGGGTGTTCCTGGGAGATGTTTTTCATGCAAAAAATGATGCAAAAACACTGTGGTTTACAGTGATTTCTTTCAAAAACCTCTCCAAAATTGAGGTTTTGAGCTATTTTTGGATCAATTTTGTGAGATCCAAGCCTATCCCAGTTTAGAGGGAATACCAAAAACCAATAAACCAAAAAA